ACCATCCATGAAACCAATATATGTGGTTCTACCTATTCACAAGGTATACAGGATAGGCAGCTCTAGTTTTTGAGATGCAGAACATATGCCACGTACCACTTAATCTGCTTGTCTATAGAAAATCATGGTAACCATATCTAACAAACTAGAGTTGATGCGGTCTATCCAATGCAATTTTCTGAATCGGGGCCCCAAATAACCCCAGGTACAGGCCTAAAATCAAGACACCATAAATGTATATATTATTATTCTACCTGCTCAAATGTTTTGTTTTGTTTTGTGTTTTGGTTGGGCTGTGTAATAAATTATATCTTACCCTTTTCCCATTTGGGACTCAAAGCCACTTACAGCAAACTAAAACACACAAAATACAACCTTTAAAAAGACGGTAAACAATTTAAAACATGAAAACCAGGTAAAAAATCCACAATTAAATATGTGTGTATCTGTGTGTGTACATATGTACACAGCCCAGCACAATAATTTCAATGATCCAGCACATAGTTTTGGAGAGATGGTCCTTATACAATCAACAATACAAGAATATCTTATTTGCTTACTGTGACAGACTTACTGTATGGTTCCTTTGAAAAGTATTTAAAAGTATTTTAAAAAGTATTTAAAAAAATCAGCTAGGCCAAAGAGCTGCTGTGGTCCAATTGGTGACGAGAGCTGGCTATAGGGAGCACTTGTTAAGCCCAATCTACATGGCCCTGGGTTATTTGAAGGACTTTACCCTCCTATATGAGCATGCATGGCCTTGTGATCTTCAGGTGAGGCCTCCCTCTCTTTCCACCTTCACAGGGACATGTGATGAGGGACTTCTCTGTGGCTGCTCCTAGGCTTTGGAATTCTCTATCTAGAGAAGACAGGGCAGCTGCCTGTTGCTATTGTTTCTTCACAAAGGCTACTTATGTATGTATTGTGACTTCATTCTGTTGTGAGCCACCCTGAATCCCTGTAAAGATGATGATTATTATTATTATTTCTACACTGACCAATCATTATAGAGCAGGATTAGTCCTGTGGCAGCCAAATGGCGCATGGGACTAATCCATGGTAACATGGGACAAGGCCACTTTAGCAAGGCCTTCCCCCTGCTTTACCCAAAGTCAAAGGAAAAGTATAAATTGTGGCACAGAATTTGGACTGCACCCTAACTTTGAGCCTGTGGGAAAAATTGGGGCAGTTTGGAAATGGCTGCAACTGTCCTCATAACCATCCTATATTTCCTGGACATGGATGGCTCATGGGAATGGGAGGGCAGTTCCCTTTCCCCCTACCCTCCTTGTCATGGTGGTCTTTTGACATGGGACCTACTTGTCCACTATTGTGAGCAGTGATGTCAGCTGGGGCAGTGGGAAGGGAAGAGGAAGAAGGTGGATTCCTTCTCTCCTCCCTATGTTGGTGCCCAATCTCCCTGTCAGATGTCACTAGATGCAATGGTGGACAGATAGGACCCTGTTGCAATTGGAGAGTGCCATGATACAGAGAGCTGAGTGAGAGACAAGGAGTGTGTTGTGCTGCCTTTAAAACTGCTTTACTACTTTTAATATTTATTGTTAGTGTCTCTTTTTATCTTTATTGTTAGTGCCTGTTTTACTTTCAGTGATATAGACATATTTTGCCTTTATATTAAAACAAGTGCACAATTTCTTTTGTGTGTCTTTGTTTATATGTCTATTTATTTATTTATTTATTTATTTCAAAGTTTTATATACCGAGCTTCTCACCTCATAAGAGGGACTCAGCCCAGTTTCCAACCATAAAAACACATACAATTGGTAAAATATCAAAATACACATTACAATTAAACATTTTAAAAGCACATATATTTAAAACTACAGTGGTCAGTCGTCATACTAAAATCGAATATACACCGTCTTCCATCCAAATCATTGTCTCATTCTTCGAAATGAGAATATATATATATATATATATATATATATATATATATATGTGAACTATGTGCTTATTTAATGGTATAAGCCATGGGGGGGGGGGGAGAGAAGGGATAACATGCAAATACATACATACATACATACATACATACATACATACATACATACATAATGAATGGACCTGCAAATTCAGCCCAGAATGTTTCTTATCTATAGTTCTAGCAGAACTTCCCCTATACAATATTGCATCTGCCTGTCTTTTAAAACTATATGTGGACTTTTTATTCTCAATCATAAAGGAAAACAGTAATTCTTGCTCTTCGCACAAAGAGCATAGCAAAATCAGACTTAATGACAGGAAGAGAATCCATTGCATGCCCACCAGTTGCCAATTAAACCAAAAACGTAATTTGCTTAAAGTCAGTATTTTTCTGTAGCTTGAACTGGTAAAAGCACTCCAACTTTCTAAACTTGTACTTTCTAGGCTTTAGATGCACACTTGAACACAGGAATAATGGCATATTTTCATATTAGCATATCTGTGCATAATTCTACAGTAAATCAAATTTGGGTATACAGAATCAATACAGATATTTGATTTTTAATCTGGGAGTGCCAAGGTCAAACCAGATTTTATAAAAGGATTAGGTAGAATTTTAGAATGGGAAAGGACAACAACAGCCATCTAGTTCAGCCCCCATCAGGTGCAGATGGATGTGGCTACTCTGTATAGCTTCTGCTAGAAAAGTTAACCTTAAATCAGATGTAAAAGAATATGATCTGGTATCAATTGTTCCTGACTTGTGATGACCCTGAGATAAATCTTGTTTAGCTTTTGAAAAGACAGTCAGGTTGAATGTAACTTCTAAATGCAGAAAGGAAGTTAGGAAATGTTATTGAAATTACTGAAAATCCTTAGAAATTGATCCACATTCTTCAAACCTTTGAAATTTTCTGACAACACTTCTTTTTTTGAAATCGGCTTCCCCGATTTTTGCTTTTGGTTTATTTTAGTACTATCGAACAAGATTTGGAATATAGGGGCAAACCCTGTAGATCTCAAAGAATAGTATAGTAAGACCCCTGTAACCATGGACCTATAATCTGGGTTGTCACTTTCTGTGGGTCTCTTACGAATTGGCTAGGTCCTCCAGGCAGTTTTGTGGTATGCTGCAAAATTCTTAGACATTATATGTATTTTAGGAATCCCTGGGTCCTCCAATGTAACTTTATGGAATTTTGGGACCAGAAGTCAGCTCATTTACTGAGTTCAGTCATATGTGAAAATTCAGGTAATCATGATCCCTCTAGGAATATATCCTTCATAGATATACTTCAGTTGACCTGTCAAGTCAGTTTTTCCATAATCTGATGAGGATACGAGTATAAGCACTTTAGGAAAACCTGATCCTATTTTTAAGAATTGTGTGGAAGCTATAGTCCTGCTAATAGTCAAATTTTCTAACTGTTCACAAGCAAGCTATCTCATATCCACTATACTTGACTATACAAAATTGAGTTTTTCATAGTTAAAATTCTTGGATAATGGAATCTGCTATTTAGAGGAAGATTTAGGCAGATAGCTTTCTAGTTTCACATGAATGGGTCTTATAGACTGTTTCATTGGTAATGTAATTACACTATTACTTGCCATTTGAATGCAGGAAGTGTGGAAGCACCTGTTTTAACTGCCAATAGAAAGTCTTGTACTCACTTAATAAAAATGTCTTGCAATAAACATAGAATTGCATAGTATACATTTCTGGAGTTTTACGGAGTTTTTCATATTATTACACATCTGGATTTTGTGATCATTATACAAACCATTTGCTGTTACTATCTTTGTTCTAGTTTTATCAACTTGGTTCTTTTTTGTTTTGTTTCTTGTTTTTTATATGTTTTGCAGTGTGATTTTTTTTATACAAACACCTGTGCTTTTACGCATTTTTGTACTGTTGCTTGATTTATATGTTCAAATGCATTCATGTGGGCAGGCACAATTTCACACTGAATTTTTAGATCACAAAGTAATTGATATAAAGAATAATGCTGCAGGATTTGGAGAGAAAAAATAGATCCTTTGACGATTTCTCCTACCTTCAGAATAGTAAAACAAAATGGATGAAATGCTTTGTATTCTTCATATTAAACCTCATTTTAATATGCCACTGCTAAAATGGACATCACAGTTTGCCTTTCAAAGGCCAAATGCTATGTCAGTAATAACTGAGTAGCAGCCTCTCTGTTTCCAGGGATACAGAATTATTATTTCCCCAAATAATTACTTTTAAGGTTTAAGTATTATGAACAGACATGCTACAATTAAGTTTAGACTGTCATGGTTACAATTACCACCTGAATAATAGAGCTTATAAACAAATTCATGCAATATATTCAGACATTACTTTATATTAACTTAAAATGCAAATTGAATATGTGCTACATAAACAAACACGATTACAAGTTATTCTTCTCTTATATATCCCTTTTGTTCATTGATCACAGGAATAGCTGACAATATTGAGATTCAGTGATAGGGTTTGCATGTAATGGTTAACTGTATTTTCTTATTACACCTGTGGGCTGTGCAGACCCTTGGGTATTTACTTTGTTTTGCATTCTAGAAAATTGGAAGCTTTACTGGTTTTAAACTGCAATTTCCTCTGAAGTCTAGAGTCTGGGAACTTGGTTTATTTAAACTGTGATTAGAGATAACAAGCCAGGTTCAGACCGTTTTTTCAGATCCCAACTTGTTCTCAAACCAAACTTCAGTCATAACTCTTCAGCACTGAAGGGAACTAGTTTATTTAAAATCAGTTACTTTTTTAAAAAAAATTACCTTAAAAACTATGATTAATGTGTTACTGAGGAGGTTTCACTGATGAAAGTTAACTGTTTAGAAGTAAATTTTAATTCATCGGCATGCAAATATTTTAATTAGTTGAAAAAAGTTATAATAAACTATTCGTATGCATTTTACCTCTCTCCAAAATCTCTTGGGTAATACTATGAAAATGTTTCTTGATTTAATAAGTGAGTTTTTTCTTCTATTTGCATAATAATTTCCAAATTGTACACTCAACATTTTTCTCTCTCTAGTATCCAAGTCCAATGGAAAAAAATGTTATAGCTGTAAAAACCGTAGAAGAGAAAACAGGTAAGCTGTGCATTTTTTGTCTACAATTTATTGTTATTTATTTATGCTTTTGAAATGAATTAAGAATTATTTTTCTAAGTTTCCTGTTAGAGTGTATATGGCACAAGGTTTACAAACTGACCTGTGTTAGGAGGCAAATATGGGGGAGTGCATGTCCTTGGAGGAGATCATTGGCCTTTGGACATGCCAAAATTGACCAACCTTGCTTTAGGTTCTACTGGACCTCTCTCCGACTTTATATCCATTTAGCCATTATATCTCCCCAGATATATTTTCCTGGACAGCACTGAAAAGCACATTGTTTTGGAGGCTGCTTGATATGAGATCCTAGAAAACCGTTTGTGAGTCTTGGTTTAATAGCTTGTCAATCACAGTGGAGTGCCACCGGATGTGTTGGAGTTCATATAATTCACAGCCAAATTTGGTCATCTATATATGGAAGGTGTCTGGTTGAAGAAGGCTAATCTATATGATCAGTTCACAGTTAGATTTGGAAGGATATGTCTTAAATGTACCAATGGCCCACTGTCTGTTATTTCTGTTTCTTGGTAATAAAAGTGCCAGTTTTTGGGGTCACTTTAGGAATGGACCAGTTCTTGGGATCACGTTAGGAATGGAGGGGAAAACCAAACCAAAATGCAATCCAGATAAAATTGAAGGTTTTCTTGCTGGGGAATAGGTATGCCTGCCGTTTTATAAGCCATTCATTCTAAGAGATTATTATTACTGTGTGAAGCAGGCAGCACTCCTGTCATCACTTCTTTCTTCTACTTTTTCCTCATGCATTTTGTCATTTGAGTGGGATAACCAAGGCATCCCCCCACTCTCCAATATAAAAATCAGAACTTTCCATTGTACATTATTTTAGATGGTCACTGAATCCATCTTCCTTTCTTGTGAAATATCAACTTATGACCGCTTGTAAATGTGTCACATTGGTGAGCTAAATATACTGTCAGCATGGTTATTTAAAACCCACTGCAAAACATTGCCTTCCCTGGGAGAAAAAATCAGATAAAATGTAGTGTGAGAGATTTGTCACTTTGTAAGAACCCTTTTTCCACTTGGGCTGTTTGCCCAGTCCGATCATCAGTTAGCACCATCTTGAGGCTTCTGGACTTGCAGAGAATAATTAAATATTAAAATGTAAAATGTGTGTAGAAATTAGTCATGTCGCATTGTAGCTCAATAACTGCAATATTTCATAGGTTTCAGGTTGTGTGTACGTGCACATGTGCACTTTTTAAAAAAGAGTTTCTTTAAAAAAACTGGCCAAGTTCAATGGAAAAATAAATCTTCATTGCTGCAGGGAATTGCTTCACTTCTTGAACACTGATAATACTGGGTGAAGGAGAGAGATTTTGTGCTACAAAGCTGTATTTTAGAATGAATAGTGAGTGAAAAGAGCCATTTTTGATCTCAAGTGCCGACCCATGAAGATGTTTGAAGCATGTAGCTGGCAATGCAAATGCTTCTGAAATTGACTCTCCAGCTGCTATATGTCAAATCTTAAGTGTTCCAGTGCAGTCCCAGCCACTTCTGAGAGCCTGGCATTGCGTGTTATGCTTTGTTGTCACAGGCACTGATGCCAATAAAATGTTTGATCCAAACCATCTGTTCCCTGGCTGGTGAATTTTTTGGTGTATTGATATATGCAAAGATAGCACCTCTTTTGGACTAAGCTTCCTTTAAAACAGTGGCTCCCAACCTTTTTTTGACCAGGGATCACTTTGATTTTTTTGTTGTTAGCAAGGACCACAAGGTTCAAGAATAATAAACTGTATTAATCTAAAAATAAATTTAATCAAAACTTTTAACATGTTCATTAAACTTAATAGTAACATGAATTAAGAGTACTATTATAATATCTTCTTTACAAGTTGGGTAATACTGGGGCTAATATTATTACTCAAGGAAGCAGGAAGGAGGGAAAATGAAGAAGAAGGGAGGGAGGGAAGGAAGAAAGGACCAATGAAGGAGAGAAAGAAGCAAGAAGGGATGGATGGAGAGAGGGAAGAAAGGAAGGAAATGAGGAAGGAGGGAGAGGAGGAAGCAAGAAGCAAAGAGGGAAGCAGGGAGGGAGGTAAGGAAGAAAAGGAGAAAGGGATGGGACTGAGGGAGGGAGGGAGGGAGAGAGAAAGGAAGGGAAGGGAGAAAGGAAGGAAGGAGGGATATGAGGAAGAAAAAAAGGAAGGAGGGAAGCAAGAAGGGAGGTAAGGAAGAAAGGGAGGAAGGGATGGGACTGAGGGAGGGAGGAAGGGAGAGAGAGAGAGGAAGAAAAGGAAGGAAAGAAGGAAGGGAGCAAGGAAGGAGGGAGAGGAGGAAGAAAAGAAGGAAGGCGGGAAGCAAGGAGAGAGGGAAGGAAGGGGTAAGGAGGAAGGGATGAGATTGAGGGAGGGAGAGAGAGGTAAGGAGGAAGAAAATGAGGAAGGAAGGGAAGAAGGAAAGGACCAAAGAAAGAAGGAGGGAAGCAAGGAGGAAAGCAGGGAGAGAGCAAGCAAGGAAGGAAGAAATAGAGAAGAAGGGATGGTACCAAGGGATGGAGCACTTTGGAGCTTGAGAAAGAGCGGTGTGGAAGCCAAGCCTTGGGGGAGAGCAAATAAATAAAAATTGAGCGCTGCTCAAGGGAAGCCAAGGGATGGAAGGAGGGGGGGGGAGGGAAGAAATGAAGGAAAGGAGCAAGGAAGGAAGGAGGAAAAGAAGGAAAGGAGCAAGGAAGGAAGGAAGAAAAGAAGGAAGGAGGGAAGCAGGGAGGGAGCAAGCAAGGAAGGAAGAGGGAGGAAGGGATAGTACCAAGGAATGGGAGGCCTTTGAAGTTGGAGAAAGAGGAAGCAGAGCAGAAGCCAAGTCTTGGCGGAGAGCAAATAAAGAAAAAAAGGAGTGCTGTCTTCTTGCTGGAGGAAAAGAGTGTGTGGGAAACCAAGGGATGAAGTACGGAAAGAAAGAAGGAGGGAACGAAGGAGGAAGGAAAGAAGAAAAGGAGCCAGGAAGGAAGGAAGAAAAGAAGGAAGGAAGGAAGGAAGCAAGGAGGGAGAGGAGTGAGTGAGAGGGAGAATGGGACTAGGGAAGGAAGAAGGGAGAGAATGAAGCAAGCAAGAAGAGCTGGAGGCAGAAAGGGAGGGCTGGAAGGAAAGAAGGAACGAAGGAGGGGAGGGCAGGAAGAAAATAAGGAGGGGATTAGGAAGGAAAGAAAGTAAGAAGGAGGGGGAAAGAGAAACGGGCTCTCCTCACCCAGCCTCACGGGTATCCCTCGAGCCATCTTTTTTTGTATCTGGCATTTTGCGGAGGAGGCGTGCTGTGAGTTCAGGCAGGAAGAGGCAGTCTCCACACAAACAATTCCTCTTCCTCCTTTTTTTCTCTGCTCCTCCTTCCTGCTCTTTCCCCTTCCCGCCTTTCCTGGAATTAGCTGCTTTTGGCTTCGCTCTAAAAGTCAGCCATAGTAAACCAGGATATTTTTCGCTTAGAGAACTGCCCTGGCTCTGTGCAATGGCATCCTGGGAGTTGTATTTTACAAGATCTTTGCTTCGCGGACCACAAGTTTAGTTCTCGCGGACCACAGGCTGAGAAACATTGCTTTAAACTATAGTATTTCATTGTGGTCCATCCAGCAGCTGGGATTGAATCTGGAAGGGAAAATATATCTCTTCACTAAATACATGTTTACTAGCATGTCTTTTAAACAATGGAATGGAATTGTTTGAATTTATTTTGTTTGTATGAAGACTCAGTTTGTCCTTTTATGTCAGATTCGTCTACAGGAATCATATACCGAAGAAGGATTGCTACGTGCCAGAATGTAGTTCCACACATTTTGAGAAAGGTAATATGTTGCAGTCAGCACTGAACCTTTTTAGTTTTTAAGAGCATAGGCAAACTTTCCAGGTTTGTGTTCACTTGAAAACATTATTTATTCACCTCATGGGATAGCAGGTTGCATTTCATGACAGGGCTGCATTTCAAATCATAAATTAGTGTCTAAATAGATAATTTTCAGAAACAAGCACAAGTTTGAACATAAGAACTTGACAAGGAAGTAATAGAAGCATCCCTCAAGGAATCTTGTTCTGGAATAAATAAGTGGTAACTTCTTATGTCTGAACATTTCAAATTAACAGCCCTTCATTTTTACATTCTTCTGTTTTCCATTTTCTAAAGTGATTATTTTTAAAGTCTTTTTTCTGTGTCGAAAGTTAAATAATGTCTCTCTGTCACATTTCTGTTTGCCCCTTTCATGCCTCTTCCAGATGGGAAAACATAAAATTTGCAGGTACCAAACAGAATGTAAAATGAACTAAATGTTTTGGCTGTTTGTGTGTTGTGTGCAACAGTCAGCAGATGAATTTGAATTCATTACTTGAAATTGGACATATAAGCAACTAAAATGTCACACAAATTAAGTTGTTGCTTCACTTACAGTGTTGCAGCTGCAAAATCTAACAAGGCACAGAGCAGTAAAAATGAGTTTCCTAATACCTGCATGATTTCATCACTAACTACTATTGTGTATTATTGTCAAGGAATACATAATGTTGATGGGTATGATCATTAGCATAGCTATTAACTTTCTTATATGATCAGAACATATGTTAAATCCAAAAAAAGTATCTTATTGACCTGTCTAATCATTATGTCTGACAGATCAGTGTCCTAAAAGTATCTGAGGTCCACTTAGAAGAGGAATCTTGGGTTAACATACAGAAAAGAGTTATGTCTATGAAAACACGTTGTCTCACATGGACAGAGTATGCTACCCTAAAAGAAGAATCAGTCTTCCAGGAAAGCTTGGAGAATCCAAATTGGTAAGGGACAGACATGTTTCTTAATTTCAGTATATTCTGTTTATTACGCATTGCATCAAGAGAATGTGATACTTTTACTTTGAGAATACAAAAAACTGTTACATAGTCATTTGGCTTCCGAGCATAAATTCAAAGATGTTAGCACAGCCAGGCTTACATAATTTGTGACCACCAAGTCAGTGGAAGCCTGCCAAGTGGATAAGGATAGCTGAGGGCTCAGTAACCCTCCTGGGCTCATGCCTTGCCTGCATCCTTTAGAACAGCCTCTATATCCTGGTATATCCTGGTGCGCACAAAGACATGACTACTGTATTGTGTTACAGGTTAGTGGTTCAGACAAGCTGTATGCAAGGAGGATTAGGGAAAGGTAGAAAATAATAAAGCCTCTTTTATTTAAAGGCACTTTTAAAAAAATGCTGTTATCATATGGTAGGAAACTGCAAAAAATATTTATAAGCTGGGATGCACCTAGACAGCTCCAAAAATAATCATATTTGAAATTCCATGCCAGGTATGCGAATCAAGAAAGTCTGTGCATTTGGTTTTTTATATGTTTTGCATTATATGTTCTGGTTGTGCCTGAGTTAGAAACCTTAGCTAAAAATGAAATAGGAGTTTCCCAAGAGATTCCACCAAAACTCATACTCTTTAGTTTTTCTCTCCTCCTGCTCATCTGAAGCACATGGCATGATCCATTAGCAATGACAGTGCTAAAGATGTGTCACTGTTAGGGGTCTTTTCTGTTACATTAATGTTCTGCTCCCAAAATCTGTTCTCACTGTAAATTAATTTCCAGTAAATAAATGCAGAAGCATAAAGTGAAAAGTGTATATGACGAAAGTTATACAATGAAATAGAACAGATAAAAATCAACAAGAAAGATGCCAATTGACTTGTGCAAGTATTTTTAAATTTTATTTTATGTGTAACAGTGGTAGTTCAGTAATGTTTCATCTAGCTTATCAAATAAAAATAAATATTAAACTGCATCACACACTTTTTAAAAAATGTTTTATTTTCAAAATAAAGATTTGGTAAAACTGATCTTCAACCAGTTTATTCATTTTTGGAGGAATAGTATTGATTATATTTCATCTGGTGAGAAGTGATGAATGCAATGAATCTTTGATAAGTATAGGAATGGCACCTGGCATTAATGGTGTAAAAGAAGGAAGATGTAGTAGAATATGAAATCATCTGGGATGACATGATCCATTATGAACTCTGAGTCACTGTAATCTTTTAAAGAAAATTGTAAAATAGAAATTGAACTCAACAACAACCACTCCTAATTTAATAAGATGGTGTATGTGGGTGTGTACATGTGCATGAATGTGTATATGCACTGGCAACCCCCGGGTTATAACAAGATAGGTTCTGTAGGTTTGCTCTTAATTTGAATTTGTATGTAAGTTGGAAATGATACATTTTAAGTGTAGCTCCAGCCAAAAACATTTTTTAGTTTTGGAAAGCATTTGGAAGGGTTAACACCCCCGTGACATATGTTTTGCTGTCTGTGCCCCTGTTCAGAAGATTTCACCTCTCTTTCTGTCCCTGTGACAATTGAATTTTGAAAAAATTGGGTTGTCATGGAAACAAAGATTGGTAATAAAGGCACCAACCCCTTTTCCCCTTGATAACTCTTCCAGATGTGATATTTCCTTTTTAGAGATAGATTTCCTCTCATTTCCTGTTGTCTTGCCCCTGTTTGTAACTAGGATTCAGATGTTTGTAACTTGGGGACTGCCTGTAATCAGAAAAACAAGGCTATTTGATACTATTTCGATACAATTAACGTGCATTCACATTTTCACAAAAAACTTATTAGTAGCTTTTCGGAATTTCACGCAAATGTGGCATATTTGAATTGAGACTTGGACTCTGAAGACCAAGGTTGACTCTCTTTTCAGTTATGAAAACCCACTAGTTTAACCAGGGCAAGTCACAATTCCAGTCCCAGAAAGTGCCGTAATAGGTTCTCTTTATGGTTGCAGTAACACTAAAGTTACTTGGAGGCACAGAACAACAAATGGCTGCCTTAATTTAGGCATAATCTCTGGGGTGCTATGATGCCTTTGACCTCTTCATGGGGAATGGGGAACATAATTCAGCTGTGTAGTACCATCCCCTTGGAGGCTTGTTTGGCACAAATGCTTCAAGGCTTTAAATAAAATCTTGGTTATTTATTGAAGTCTTTGGGCTCCACGGATGTTCATTTTCTTTGAAGTATTTACACTGTGCAAGAGTCTGATGATTGCACCCTTGACCTAAGGTCACACACATGCACACAGATTACTGGGTACCTGGAACATTGCTTTACTTGTGGTTAAAAAAATGTTAAATAATTCTGATCTCACTTGGAAGTAATGTCTTTCTTGATGAATTTTGAAGAAAACACCACACCAATGCCTCTAGAAAGAACTGTGTGAATCTTTCCAGTTTCTTTGAAGATGTTAGAAATGCGTGTTTTTCAGACATTTAAGGTTTCTTACACCAACAATGACAGCATAGTAATTTATCCATTTGGGGAGAAATTGATAAAAGACTGCCTTTCTGCAGTATGAAGTTTGCTTTCTTACTGCCCTGTCTTTTTAAAAAGCATGCAGACAACACTTTTGACGGAGTACCTGAAATGTACCCCTTAAAATTATAGTGGCAGTACTTAATTCCTTTTGAAATTACATATTGTTGAAGCTTTGTTCAGTGCCATTAAATCTGACCAAACCATGTCTCTAATCTGCATTGTATGATGTAACACATCGTAATAGTCATGGAAAACTAGAGGTAGAAAAGTCAAAACGTGTGTGCTCTCTGCTACTAAAAGCTTACCATGTACCAGATTGTAAAAATGGAAACATATATGATAAGAAGATCAGACAAATGCGCTTCTGCTTCTTCTCAGCAGGAAGAATTTCTAACACATCCTACCCTAATCTTAAAGTGTTGGTAACTGTGGCTTAAAAAAGACAATTTGAGGATGAAACTCAATGATATTGTAGTTCCAAAGCTTCCTAAGGTTGTATGATTTCTGTTAGATTGCTATAACTTTGTTAAGATGCGATGTTTTTCAGAAAAAGGATTGATTTTTCATTTCCTATCAGGGTATTTTCAAAAGCTATAAGCTGGCTATTCTATGCTGCATTAGTTGTATATTCCATAACCAATTTATGAATCAATACATTTTTCTGATTCACTAAATCATGTTAATCTTCATATCATTAAATTGATTTTGAGATAAGTTCCTGGTGTCTCTGCACATTTGGTGACATCTACCGTATATTCCGGGGTAAAACACGACTGGGGCTATAAGATGACCCCCCCCCAACTTTAATAACAAAAATACAGAGTTGGGGATATATTCGCCGTTTAAGACGGCTCCCCAATCCAGCGCTTCTCACCAGCCTGGACTGAAAGAAGGGCCTCCGGCGCTCCTCCTCCGCCTCCTCCTCCTCCGCTGCCTTGGCACATGGCAGCCTCCTGGTCAGGCTCCCTGTCACTCATCTCTTCCTCCTACGCAGAAGGGCTTTCCGCGCTGGTCAGGCCGCTCACCTTCTTCCTGTCCAGGTCTTGCAAGAAGGACAGGAAGAAGGCGAGCAGCCTGACCAGGGCGAAAAGCCCTTCTGCACAGGCCGTTCTCGTTCTTCCCAGGCAGGTCTCGCGAGAAGTGCCTCTTCTCCCGCGAGACAACGGTGTCTCGCGGGAGAAGAGGCGCTTCTCGCAAGACCTGCCCGTGGAAGCCAGGAAGAGATGAGCGACAGGGAGCCTGACCAGGAGGCTGCCATGTGCCAAGGCAGCGGAGGAGGAGGGGGGGAGGGGAGCCCGTGGCCAAGGCATCCACCCCAAGAGGCTCTACCGGTAATTTTTTTATTATTTTATTTTTATACCCGGGGTACTAGACGCCCCCCAAAATTTTATAAGGGTTTACATGCCTAAAAAGTCGTCTACTACCCCGGTTTTTACAGTAATTACAATGTTAGATTTTTGAGCAGATTTGTTTATGAACTACAGACTCACCGAGATGAAGAAAAATTGAAACTTTACTAGTGTTGAGAATCAGCCTGTGTTTGTGTTCCAGGATCATGATGCTTATGATGTGAGTAATGATGGTGCCGAGGCTGAGGCTGAGATGCAAGATGGTTAGGTCAATGATTTTCATACAGACAATGACAGAGAGGCCCCAGTGCAAAGGGCAGTTTCTCATGAGAATATTCCTGTTGAACCTAGGGATGATGGTTTACTTCCTCTTTCTGTGAGCTCTCAAGATTTGGATTTGGAAAACAATCTGACACCTGGAAATTTTAATGAGCAGCCAGATAGGATGTTGAAGGATAGGCGGCTGGACATCAGCCAGGATTGACAGTAAACTCAGTGTTTACGTCGCTCCAAAAGACTTCATCAGATAAGGGGCAAGTGTGGGGGAAAACGAAACCAGTTTCTGGGTTTGGGGATATAAGGTTTGCTTCAAGGGAAAACCTGTTAGATCAGGCATCGTTTGGAAATCAAGTTCATGTGCCATGGAAATCCTGTTCATGGGGTCTTGTTCATGTGGAGAATTTTAGCCTTTTGGATTGTCTTTGCTTCCTGTTGATTCCTGCCTGGATAAACACTGCCTTGGAATTGTTTTTATTTCTTGTGTGGACATTACTTTGTGTTACTGCATTTTACTGACTTATTACTTTTTGGAACCTTCTTATTTCCTTAGAAGCATTTATTTTTATTGGCTATTTACTAAGCTTCAGTAAAAGAGGATTTGTTTCTTCACTCACCATGTGGTGTGTTTTGAAGTCAGAGGGCTTTTTCCTGACCTGGAGTGCAACAACTAGGTCTTAAGATTGCAAAGTTGCTGTTTTTCATCACTTAATACTTGCCACTGTGTAATAGTCTCATCCTCATTTTGGTGTCCCCTCCCCCCATCAGTGTTTTTGCTTTCATCGCATAATAGTCACAACACTGTTTCATCACCCCAATGTACTGCTTCAGCTGCCTGCTTGTGCACTTGC